TTAAGGATCTATATAAAGTTTTAAAATAATTCATTAAAATTTGCATAAAGAAATAATCAAATTTTTAATTCAATTAATAAAGAACATTTTTTTATAGACAAACTTTAAAAAATTACAATACATTTATTAAATTTTAATAAAACAATTTTCAGCAGATTCCACAGATTGTGGTGTTTATCCTAAGCATAACCATTAGCATCTCTTGGCATAATATTTAGCATTTGAAGCCTTAAAGATGACATTTTAAGCATAATTAGCTTATTTTTTTAAGGTTTTCGGTTTTGAAATATACAAAAATAAAATATCACTCTTTAGTTTCAAAATTTTTTAAGCAAATAAGGAAGAAAAGTTATTAAATTATTTTAAAAAAATTAGACATTCAATTATTTGTAAAAACATGCAAAATTCCAGCGCTTAGAAAAAATGATGTATTTTAGAATTTCTATCCTTTAACAAAACATATTGATATAGAGATCTACAGGCAATTTTTCAATTTAAAATGGAAATTTTAAATTTTTTTAAATTTGAAAAATTTAAAAAGAAACAGTTATTAATAAAACATAATATTATTGTAAAATATGCAGTACAGATAATAAACATATCTAGAAGAGGAAAAAGTATTTTCGTCCTAAACTACTTTATGTGCTCAAATTTAAAACTTAAAATACATTCGAAACAAACCTAAAATTTAGTTAAAGTATTAATTTATTTTAGAAACAATTTAGGTACAATATTTAGAAACAAGTTCTTTTTCATTAAAAAGAATATCGAAATTTATGGTGTGAAAAATTACATAGGTGAGTGTAAAAATGTTAAGTACAAATATGATTTTCTTTTCAGATAGAATGATATATAAAATTTTAAACGTTTCAGGCGCGAATCATGATTAATTCTTTTTACATCAAAAATTTTATATACGAGATGACATTTCATAGCTATTTATTTTCTGAAATCGTAAAATAGAGAAGAAATTATATACTCTTTAGCATATCGTGTTTAATCTTGTTCCTCTTATCAATTTTACCACAGAACCTGTAAATAATAAAGAAAGACCTAGGAATGGGAAAGTCTAGACATAGAGAAGTGACAAAGCAATGAGATCGATTTCAGTACTAACTAGCAGCAGATTTAGAATTTACTTATTTTAACTTGACTAATGATTTCTTATAAAATATTTACGAAATCTTAAAATAATTATTTAACTAAATATTTGCTTAATTTTTTTATTTAAAAGAAATGTTTGCTTAGCATCTAAACGTTAAATTTGTAACACTATGTTGGTTTTTGAAATTTTTATAAATCCCAAAACTATAAAAAAAAAAAAATAGTGTGCAAAAAAAATTCAAACAGAAACCAAAATTATTGTTGATTATTTCAAACTGATTTATAATTTCTTAGAAAATATTTACAAAATCTTAAAATAATTAAGCTAAAAATTTTTAATAAAAACAAATGTTTGCGTAACTTCTAAAAGTTGAATTTGTAAATCTATGTATTTTTTTTAAAAAATTTTTTGAATCTTAAAACTTTCATAAAAAAACTTTTGAGAATACAAAAAAAAAATTCAAATAAAAACCGTAATTACTGTTGCGATTTTTATTATTTATATTTTTTTAGAAAATATTTACAAAATCTTTTGTAACTAAATATTTATTCAAAAAAATTTTATTTACAACAAATGCTTGTGGTGTATCAAAATGTGAATTTTATATCAGTGAGTAAAAAGCACAAGCACAAAAAATATTTAAAAAATTTAATTAAACTTTTTTTTTTATTTTTTATGAATCTTAAAACTATAAAAATACAGAAAATTGCTGAGAATACGGAAAAGAAAATTCAAATAAAACCAGCCATTTGTTTGTTTTTTGAAAATTTTCGATAGCCTGAAATCCAAATCCATCCAATATCTGTTCCTCTTGACATTGTGTACATATATATTTATATAATAACAATAATACGTATGGTAAAAGCAAATATTTCTAATAAATAGACAGTATACATATATATGGAGATATTCAAACTAGCAATGAAAGAAACTGACCTAAAATATTATGTTAATCAATACGTCCATAAAATTCTGGAGAAAGGAAAATTCCCTTTAATTTAGAATGATGGAATATTTGGTCAGAGATAAAAAAATAGCTGTGGTTATAAACTTCCGTTCTTTGCAGCTATAACAATAAATAATATTTCATAGGTAGATAAAAGTATAGGTTGTACTATTGAGTGAAAGAAAGGAAACGTATAAACATGCTGTAAATGAGGTCATACTAATAAGGATGAAAGATACGACATGATGTGAGGCTGCGACAAAATGTCACAGGTGAGGAGAAATCTTGTATTAGAGCTTTCGATACACAAAAGAATATGAGCTGTAATTCATTTAGGGGGTCATTCCCACATGAAATATTACAATGTATTCCATTTATATTTTAAATTATTAATGACTCTTTTAATAATGATTACGATATTAAATATTTAAAATCACTATCAGAGTTTGATTTACTCGAAACTGTTACGATATGATCTTTTTAATCATAACTTACTGAGATATATTTCTGTAACTTAGATTTATTATTTGCTATTTAATGCTCAAGACAAAGATTCTAAGAACTGTAATGCTTCTGGCTGTATCTTGGTTTTGGTAGCATCTGCAAAGGGATTCGACATTGACTGACTTATTTCATTTTCTTTCTGTTTCTCTCAGATTTTATAAAGCTTTGCAATTAAAAAATAACTCATGATTTTTTACCCAAGTGTTTTTTTATTTCGGGGGGGGGGTAGTCGGAAGGTCCAAAACTATTATTTTGATTTGGCAAATACTTATATTGAGGGTTATATTTGTTAATCGCTATCCTTGGTGACTTCAGTATAAGAAGACAAGAAACAATAAAAGTAATTTGGAATATTAATGAAAGTTGAATAAAAAATGGCCTTTTAAGGTAGTTAGATACTTTATTTACGTCGCACTAGAGCTGCACAATGGGCTATTGGCGACGGTTTGGGAAACATCCCGGAGGATGATCCGAAGACATGCCATCACAATTTTGATCCTCTGCGGAGGGGATGGCACCCCCGCTTCGGTAGCCCGACGACCTACACGCGAAGTCGAACACCTTATGGTAGAACAGTTTAACGAGGACCGATACCGCCCACCTTCGGTTCCTACGACAGGCTGATCAAAGTAGTCACCCACCCACTTTCTGACCGCAACAAGTCATGCTTGACTTCGGTGTTCCACTGGGAACAGTGGAACACCAATCAGTCCACTGCGGGACACGGACTTTTAAAAGAATCAATTTGCAAAAAATTGTTAAATTATAATAGTAAATGTGACTTGAATCTTCTTTGTCTAACAAATAATAAAACATCTCAATATTAAATTCTCTTTTTTATATATATCAAATGTATAATATTTTAAAAGCAATAATCGATATCATATTGCATTTTAAACTGAGGAACTAATTGAAATTAGAAATTTCTTAATTAATAGATTAAGTATGTTTTCTTAGTGTTTTTTTTTAAATCAATCTTGTCATCAGTCTTACACAATGAAAAAAGACCACGGCCAGAAACTTAACTAAACTTATAAACTTAATAAGTCGTTTATTTTTTTGAGGGGTGGGAGGAAAAAATTGGATGAAATAGACGAACATATCACATTACGTTTTTATAGCTTTAATTTCGTCTGTTAGTACTAAATATTTCTAACTGTGTGTTATTTTTTAATCATATAATTGCAATTGTAACGAGTTATGGCTAGCATTTCGATTACTCTAATCTAAAGCTCAGCTGTAAACATTGCCTCAAATAAATACCTAAATCTTTTACGATTTCCGTTTTTACTTACAAAATTTGTATTAAAACATTATTTTTATTCCTTTGCAGTTGCATTTGTGCTAAAATAATGTAATTTAACTGACTAATGAATGTTTTATTATTTCAATAACGGTGTAAATCTCGCAGACTTCAATATTTAAGACGCTTTAATATATTAAAAATATACAATATTTATTAGAAATGCTTACTGGCAAAAAATTTGAAAAATAATTTTTTCTCTAATTTAGCATTACAAGTAATATATTTGATTATTATTTAAATACAAAACTGATATAACATTTTTTTTAAAAAAAAACTTTGAAGATACAATGCAAAATCAAAAACGGTCTACTCTGAATAACTTTTGATTTAATGATCGGATCTTTAAGCTCTAAAACTCAATCATAATGGTTCAAAAGGATGACATCAAATATGCTAACTAATTAGAGCAGGCAATATTTTAAGTTTCAAACTCAGATTCAAATACGAGTGATTATTCAACGTATATATAAAAATACGACATTTTTAAAATTTGATTTCTCAGGAATTATTGGACCGACTTCACTCAAAATTTGTATTTTGCCTTCTAAAATTACGTTCCTTAAAATTATGTAAAAAATTGTATACCTTACAATTCAAAACTTTTTTGACTATTGTTGAATAAAATAATAAAAAATAATAAATATTTACTAAAAGTTATTTTTGTACGGAATTTATCTTTGGATAAACGAATTTTATAATTGTGTGGAAAAAAATTTCAATTCACTTTAAAAGCTCTCGAGATATGACGAAAAACGCAAATTTATACGATTGAACTTATATAAACTGTTGATTTATATAACTGAACTTATATAAACTTTGAACCGATCTTCTGATCAGATTATTGGAACTATATTTCCCAGACCACGGCCACCCTCTATATTTTAGGGGTTCGTAATTCAAATCTACCTTAAAAAAGGTTTGCTTATTCAAAGAAAGTTCGTTTTAGCGTCTAATTTCTCAACATAAAATATTGTCTGCACTAATTAATTAGCATATTTGAGATCACCCCATCAAACCATTAAAATTGAGTTCTAGAACGCGAATATCTGATCATTATATTATAAGTTATTCAGTCTGGTCCGTTTATTTATTTTTTGTGCAATGTATGAAGCCTCTGATATCTTGTTTTTTTGTTTTAGCATGGGCGTTATTTAGACATGGTCACAATTGACGCTCCTGAAAAAGCTACGGATAACAAAGAGAAAGATCTCCAGAATGATGTCCAGAGTAAATCTAAGAAGAAAAAAGTGGTCATGGTAGGTGCTAGGATTCATCCAGGAGAAACACCGTCCTCTTATGTTTGCCAAGGTAAAGATAAAAATTGTCTCATCCTTTTTTTATTTCAATTAAAATTATGGAGAAAAATTTTAATTTAACAAGTGCGTCAAATTAAATAAGAACAGAGTTGCTTAAATTGTACCACTTTTTACATTTAAATTTTTATCGGCCACGGATCACAGACAAATACATTTGAAATATTTTAATGGAAAAATACAGTTATTCAGCTATTTATATCATTTTTTGATAATTATAGGCTTAGACTAAGAGGTTGGACAGCTCTAACGAGCAGGGCACATCGACCAGAGGTCTATTGTACACAAACCCTAAATCATGAATCGCATGAAAGCCCTATAGCTGAAATTAAATTCAGCAGACACCTTACAGGAACATCTTGCAGTTCCCAGGCATTGACGCAATGCTGCCCTAGATGCTCAAATCTTTGAGCAGAATAGACCTCACAATCACAGAGTATGTGTCGTGATGTCTCTTCTTCAAGATGACAACCCCAACAAAGACAATTGGATTCTATTCCCATTATGTACAGGTGTCTCCTGAGGATGCAGTGTCCAGTAAGAAGACCAATGATCTTCCTTAAACTGTTTCTATTAAGCTTTAAAAGCTCTTTTTGACGTACACTAGGACAGTCTCTGATAATAATAGTGTAATAAGTCTGAAAAATAATTGTTTTCGCATGGTCTGCAAGTGGTATGACTTGGAAAACCACTTGCTAAATTCCTACCACCTGCTCTCTAAATCATACCACCCTCAAAAATGATGAGAAATTAGGATCATTGAATAAGTACAATGTAAAAAAAAATCCAGATCAAAGTACGGTATAAAGTACTATTACTTTAGACGCATCATCCGTAAAATCCATTTTTACCTTAAAATATTGCACCGTAGTTTTTACAGTGATGTTTATTTATTAGAGTGATTCTACGGTAATTATTACTATAAAACTTATGGTATATCAGATTTTTTGTTCCGTAATTTCGATCGAATAGTTTCTCTGCATTGTAAACGCCCAACAAGAAACGTGATTTTTGAGATATCGCTTTTAAATTTATAACGTTTCTCGTCGGTTTTTCTGGACTTACTATCAATCGGCAATGCATGGGCCGTACAGCGCGTCTCCCTCGAGATCATTCATTTCGTTTGCTGCACTACTATCTCCCGGGCCGTGGATCTGGCTTCTTTACTGCAGGTAGACGCATGGTGCTCCAACCGCAAAAAATTGAATCGCAAAACTCGAACGTCTTGTTGCTATTGAATACCCATGACTTTCACCATGCTGGCTATCTCCACTAAACCATCTTTGAAGATCACCGTAGTCAAGTAATTGACAATTTCAACCACATCTTTATTGAAATAGGTGTGTTTTGGAGAAAATTCCCAAATTGGCGAAGCAAGCTATTCGTAGCCTGATAGCCTCCTGCGTCGTCCCTGAGCTCTCGACGACGCAGACAGGGACTGATCAAGACAAATTTAGGCCCAAGGCCCACCAAATTTTCTGAGCCCCTAACGAAATACTATTTTGAAATTAAGTTTCTGAAGAGTAGTCCTAGCATTAAAAAGAATCTGTTGTTGATGCGGGGTAACAAAAGGGGGGTAATTTATCCATGAATCTTCATTTCTAATTAGGGTGGACTGTATTATCGCTGGTAAGACCTAAATTTAGTTATTTTTCTAAATCTGGTAAATGCTAGCATATGAATACGACAAGAGAGAGAGCACCATTACAACCTTATGACAACTTGTTTATTGCTACTCTGACTGGTTACAAAACGGTACTGTAGATGGCGCTGGAGTAAAGATACAACAGAATCTATTGAAGAGAACAGTTCTAAAAAATTTTGAAAGCAAAAAATTGAAGATCATTTTTCTAAGGTAAAGCTCTCGCATCTATATATTAAAGCAAAATATAAAACAACGAAACAATGTTTTGTCAAAATAAAAATAGTTTGGTGACCGCAAACAATTGAAATCAGTGATTTTTGCTAAAAGTCACTGATTGGTAGAATTATTTTTCACTGTAAGCTGTAATTATTTTTTTATTTAGTACTTAAACCAACACAAAGCTAGCCGACTTTTCATTAGATTTAACGATAAGTTCAGCATGTATACTAAGTTATTAATTATAATTAAGGTTATTAATTAAGGTTATTAATTATAAGGTTAAGGTTAAGGTTATTAAGGTTAAGGTTATTAAGGTTAAGGTTAAGATTAAGGTTAAGGTTATTATTAAGGTTATTAATTATAATTTTTATTAAAAGAATACATACAAAAAATATCCAAAAGGAGCCAAAATTATAGCTACTCATAGAAAATTAAAAACACATTTAAATAATTTATTTAAAGACATCACTTTTAAAAAATTAAAATTCATATTCAGTGCATTCACTTAAGCTATTGACGTAAAAACTGCACCAATTCAAATTCAGCTGTACTTTCGAATTTGATTAGTGCAATGTTTACACGAGTTTGGTTTATCAAGATTTATAGAAAATTTGAAGAAGAAAAAAAAGTGAATTTTTGAGAAAAACTGTTTCTTTCAGTATTTAAAAAAAAATAGTAATATTGTGGACTTTTTACTAATTTTTGAGGCCCCCCAAAAAAAGTGTGGGCCTAGGCGATAATCAGACCCTGGATGACAAAACGGTTTCGCCCACTCATACTCCATAGTAATTGATTCTTTTTTAGAATTTTTACACTAGAAAACCCCTTTAAAAATAAAGTCCTTCTATTTTTATTTTATTAATTCATAATTTCCTTACCCCATTTTGTCAAATAAAGCGTATTTAGTTTCATGTCTAATTGTACATAGCCTATGTAAAATTGTATTTAAATTGAGACAGTACAGCATGACATAAAACAAAAATAGTGTACTTCAACTAAACTATTTCCTACAGTAAAATACAAAAAACATGTCTGGATTTGAAGTGACTAGTAAAATAGATATACGTACTTTTTCTGCTGACTTTGAAAGAGAAATCGGAAGAAAACTCAAAATGGATTTTTAAAAAAAATCAAATAATATATATGCTTCTTCTAAGAAAAAAAATGCTGATGGATCGCTTTAGGTGTTTCTTTTTCTAGAATAGAATTTTTCGAACAAAAGTTTTTCCAAAATGTTCATTTCTGGGATATATTTTTAAGTTAAGTTGAATGGAAGAGGGAAAAAAATAATTCTAAATTTATTATGTTAAAGCTGTAGTTATAAAAAAATGGCAAATCCATTTTTGTTTTTCTTAAAAAATATCCCAATTTATTTATCGTTTCCTTTTGAACCTAAACCCTCAAATAGTAAGTAAGAAGAGAACTATTTTATAAAGCCTTTTTAAAAATTTGAAGTCTAATTTTTTTTTACTTTATGCCAAAATAAAATAATTTTCGAAATCCTTAAAAAACATGCACTTTCAAACAAAAATAAAACTCTTACCGTGTGTGTTTTTTTCTATATTACATTTTAGCAATGAATAATAACCACTTTTTGTAATGAATAATATTGATTTATTTCGTATTCTATAAATCAATATTATTTCTTGTGTGTTACATTTTGGTAATAAATAATAATAACTATTTTTCGTAACGAATAATATTGATTTATTTCGTAATTAATAATAGTATAGTTTACCTGAGTCTTAAAAAATATTTATGTAAACCTTAGAAAGAAAAGAATATCTTGTACGAAAAAAACGATTATGAGAGGAAGAACAACGCTACCACGAAACAATAAAAAAGATGAGAATATACCACTTCAAAAGTAATAAAAAAAAGATAATGTTTAAGCTAATTTCACATTTTATACTTGATGCATAACAGTGGGCGTATAAAGGACATCTGAACTAAAACTTTCATCAAACGTTAGCCATTTTAACATTTGACTGGATTTATCACCAAGAAATGTTGTGGTTGACGTTGGCCTGATTAGGCAGAGGGAGTGCGATTGTTCTTGTTTTCCAGTGGCGCCATCTAAGGCCAAGAATTATACTTCTGCCACACCACACTTCGCACCCGTTTATAGGGCGGACCCATTCATACATCCATTCATGCATCCACAGATCGTAATTTTTTTCTGAATCAGAGAACGATCGACTTCCAATCCATGATTTGTTATGGGATATGGGCCCAGCGCCCTACCGACCAGGCTATCCCGGCCCTCTCACCAAGAAATGGGATATGGAATAAAAAGGATGAGCGTTAAGGAATGTACCAATTTTAAACGTGTTTAATTTACATTTTAATTTTAACATCAAACATTTTAACACCAAAAAAATGCAGTACCATTTCTAGTTTAGTTTATTAGAATTCCAGGTTAATTTGTTGGTCATTTAACACATTAAGTAATGTAGTATCCTATAGATTCAACCTGTAAGCCAATTTTCAACCAGCTTTGATGTCAGCGCAACAGCTTCTATAATTCTCTGTTTTTATGGGGTAGGTTAACAAGCATATTTCGTTCCTTCACAAAACCACCAAATTGCGGATTGAGATTAAGAGATCTCAGTGTCCAACAGAGCAAATTGCTACATTTTTTATATACGTCCTACATTTTAACATAAGCCTACATACTGCTACTTACAACTAATTACTAATGTATGTAAGACTACACAGTCCTACGTACATTAGCCGACCCAGTTCTGGGTTTGAGATAGTCAATATTTAACTCCGTAGCCTTGTAATTTTGAATACAACTCAGAAGACCGAGGAACTCCTGGATCAAGCATTGGAACAAACTAGTTTTCGTGATAGAACTAACCCGAATTTGCGTTACATGGAGAGCAAAACCACGAAAACTTCCCGTGGTTAGCCCGACCGAAAGGGGATTCTAACCCATGATATATTTACCACTGAGGATATTTTACGTCAGTACTGTTGTCAGTGCGAGCCGAATCTGGGTAGCTATTTTTGCTTCTAAAAAAAACTAATAAATAATTGCTACTACATTTTATTTTATTTATTTTAAAATGGATGGAGCTACTACCTTACAGATTTATACTGGCATAAAACCTTCAGACGATAAAAATATTTTGTTCAATGAGACATTTAAAATATATTTAATTCAGTGTCAAGCAATAAATTACAAATTTTATTGTAAGCCATTTTTAACAGGCTGCTTTTTATATCTGAGTTATTTTTTAAATAGAGTTCTTAGAATAAATTCCTTATTTTGTATTTGTTTTATGTCTAGACCAGTGGACTCTACAAACCAGTATAATCTAACAAAACTTTCGTTATTCATAATATTTTTTTATACGGCAAATTTCCTATTTTGTTACACTCAAAAAATAATAGTTTTGAATAATGAATTGACCGTAGAAACTTTACGTAACAGAAGTTTTAATATTCAAAGTATATTTTTATGGATGTGGATTTTCCTATTCTGTGGCACATAGAAAAACAATATTGAAAAAAATTTACTAGTGAGTTTTTTTGTCTACCGGCGTTATTTTTGTTAAATGAAATTCATTAGATCAATTCATTATTGAGGTTTGTTTGCGTGTAACAAATAAGTTTGTTGCTTATAATAAAATCATATTTTTAATTATGACAAGTATTATTTGCTAATAATACTCGTCATCCATCTGTTTGTATTTATTTAATAAAATTTTCATAACTCACAACATTATTTTCATGAGCAACAAACTTCTTATTCTGCTGCACCTGAAATGCACACAATACTGTGAGAGAAAAAAAATTTATAAATTTCTTTAAACCAATTTATTTACAGTAAAGCGTTTAATAGATATGAAACTTCAGTAAACCAACTAATGCAAAAAAAAATGTGATATTAACTTGTTTTAAAATTTCTAGGTATGATAAACTTTCTCCTAAGTTCCCATCCCGTAGCAGAAATTTTAAGAAAAAACGTCGTATTCAAATTTATTCCGATGTTAAATCCAGATGGAGTGTATGTGGGAAATTACAGGTAGCTTGAATGTACTTCTATTCTTCCTTTATTAAATTATTTGAAACAATATATATCAAACTATGCTAAGTTCAAGGGATAATTATCCCCCAAGTTCGTTTAGATTTTAGCTAAGGAAACTGAATTGCTTATCTACGCTTAACTATAGCTTGTTATGACAAACAGTTGAAAAAATAGTAGGAAAACATAGTCGCCATCTATCCTAAAAATCAAACAAACCCTATAGGAAGTCTTGATGACTTTCTCTGACGTCATAGCAAAACGTGACTATTTTTTCCACTCTTTTCTCTTTAATGAATTACTCCATTTAAATCGGAGTGATTGGACTTAAGGAAATTTAAACATCGTCATTTCAGATAACAAATTTGTGCTTCGATGCATAGTGAAACCAAAAGCAAAATAACTGCCGCCATATGCAAATGAATTTTTCACCATCGAAAACAAAATTATTTATAAAATCGTCGAAAATGATGTAATCAGAAAAAAATAGAAATCAATACAAACGAATATTTTACCAACAGTTGAAAAAACCTCAACAAATACTGTCCCCTTTACCATAGAGAACACGAAACATGTGCGAGAATAAAGTTCAACTTGGGTTGAAAGTTGCTACATAAATCACAAAAAATCAGCACATATTGTATCAATTTTAGAAAAAAGCGTATTATCAATCTACATTTATATACATGAAATATATAATTTGACAACACTATTATATATTTCAAAAAGGTTGAATATAAAGCAGTCACTGGCCTTGTATTTGCATGTTTCGAAGGACACTATTGTTTAGAGTAAATATCCAAGATTAATTTGTATGCAAAAATTAAATAAAGATGACTTGAAGCTTATTTAAAATTTTGCATTAATTTAGATCAAAATACGCGAAAAATATTGCATTCAGAAGTTTAATAATTTATGGTTATGAAATCGAGCATAAAACACAGGTGTCTTTTAAATATTCAAAACATATCTTACTACCAAAATATAATTTTTCAAATTTGCACTTATTTAGATCTAAAACAAACAGTTATTCAACGTTGAAATTTATTTTTTTAACAAAACTAAATCATTGAATATAAATAAAAAAATTTCAAGCTATTTTTTTCGGCAGGGGGAGGGGGGTATTTATGCTTTTGTACAAATATGATTCCGATAATCTAACATAATTTTTAGCTATTATTAGACTGTTTTTTATAATTAAGAATACAAAAATATATTTTAGCTTGTAATTGAAGCGCCAGAAAAAAATGTGTAAAAGGGACACCGATGTCCCATCAGCTCGAAAGGGATAAGAGTAAACAAAACTTCATCTGAAAGAGTGACTTCTTGTTTCGAAAACAGCTTCGATGTAAGGGTTTTTAAAAAAGCTTCACTTTAAGATATCAAGAATTAACATTACAATCCATGATAATAAACCGAGAGTTAAAAAATAGTGTTTGGGGAACATTAAAAAACACTTTTAAAAAACTTCTTTTTTTCAAGATTTGTAGACTCGGTGTAGTTTGGCATGCACCGCATAATTGCTTTTGATATTCCTTTCTCTGCTTTAGGACATGCATATTGGGACAAGACTTGAATCGATGCTGGCAAGAAAAATCCATCCACGCTTATCCAACTTTAGCAGCCGTGAAAAATATAGGAGAATCTCTATCATCTGAAAAAGTATTGTTAAATATTTCTTATCAGCTAATACTTTAAGTTTATTCGCTTGTGAGCCCTAACTACTCTATGGTGAAAACCGATATTTCAATTTACATAGAGAAACATTACTAATTTTTCAATACAATTTATAATATTTGAATTTTACAATAATACTCATATCTTGCTCAGTTTTTAGCAAATTTTCTTTGAACTTTACTCCAACAATTTTGTAATTAATTTTAAATTTCGCCAAAAACTTAGTCTAATTTCATTGAATATTGATGAAGTTATAGCAAAAAATAAAGTAAGGCGAAAAATCTTTATTTTTTAAATAAATGTCCGTATCTCCATAAATATTTACTCAAGCCTTACGAAACTTTATGCAGCTATTAAAAATAGCAACTAAAGTAATCGATACAAGTTACAAATTTTTTGCTTTTATTTCCTGGTACAGGGTGTTCAAAAATATTTGTTTTCTCTCACAATTGAAAGCTATTGCTAAGTATGAAAAATCGCATGAACTTAACACCTCTGAAGTTACAAAATAGTCCTTTAAATATTTCTAGAGAAATTTAAAAAAATTTCAAAAACTGAAAGTGTCTCTTACATTATTGTAGGGTAGTGTAAATGCACAAGTGCATCTATCTTTATCTAAAATAGAAGTGATAAGGTGGGATTTAATAGTAGGCTATACTGTAATCATCATCCATAATTCATATTTTTGAAATCCTTATTAAAATGAAATAAAAAATGTATAGAAATTAGGCAAAGCAATTTTATGCGACAAATAAAACGAAAGCTTTATCAAAAGCCAAATTTTCAAGAGCAAGAAAGATTAGATAAAAAACATCAAAAGTCAGTTTTGTTGCAGGAAGTTTTTTTTTTTAAGTTGTTTCTAATGGTCGCCGTATTCCTACTTTTAATTCCTTCCAGCAATCAAAAGATTTTCGATTTTTTTTTCTTTAAATCTCGTCTTTGTTGCTAGCGTCCGATTTTCACTTTGCTCTCGTTTTTTCCGCATTTGAGAAGTCATCACCTTTATTGTAAACAAGGGTGGTGATTACGGAACACTCTGACTAAGTATTGCTTTTTTCACACCGTTACGTGACGTAACGTTATACAAGAAACAATATTTCTGCTAAAAACAATAAAAATGTATTGCATTCAAAGAACAGATATCCATTTATCTTTTTATCTAGGAAAAAGAAATAGATATGTATTTGGACTTACATGCTCATACGGGTCAGCTTGGATCTTTCGTCTACGGAAACAGTTACAGTGATGTGTATCGCTTACAGAGACACACGCTCTTTCCAAAACATCTCAGTTACTGTGCTCAAGATTTCTCCTTAGAACATACAGTCTACAATAAAGACAGAAACAAATCAGGTACCTCCAGAAGGTAAAACATTCTCTGATATTTCTAGTTTTTTTTTTTTAAATTTTAGAGTTTTTTAAAATTTTATTTAAAATCTACAGTCAAACCCCAGCTTAACGTACCCCTATTTACAGAAATTTGTAATTTTACGAATTTTATGAAGTTAGGGAAGTAGAACAATGAATAGCAACTCAGACACGGAAGTCAATGATAATGAATCTTTAGTGAAAACTGTTACTTTTTCCGATGCTTTGCACAGTTTGGAAACAATGAAAACTTACCTAACGCAGTAAATGAAGGAATATTTTCTTATCTTCATGACGTTGAAAAAGAACTTTTTTAATGTAAGAAATCGAGGAAATAAGCAAACCTTACTCACGAAATGTTTTAAAATTTCAAATTAATCAACCGTTGTCATCCGCTGTGTTTTAGGTTCCTGAATAAAAAGTGTAAGATTTCTATTTATTTTGTGTATTTGCTTATTTGAGATATTTGGATATTCCATAAGGTTAATAATTTTTTTTTTTTAATTTTGCCCCCGATATTACGAATTATCCTTGATTTAACGAATAATTTTTTTGGTTCCTATGAATTCCTTAAATCGGAGTCCAACTGTAATTCTCCAATTTAGATGATGAAGCCAGTATATTTTAGAGGTGGAGTGACTTGCCTTAAGTGAAGTAAGTTTAAGATATAGTAACCCTGTAATTGTTTTAAAAAAAGTAGACTTTTTATCTTATAAGAAAACATGGATTTTTAGTTTTACATTACATGTTTTAAACTAAATTTTAAATGCGTATTATTAAGTTAATTTGTATTATCCTTATAGCTGATAATGTGTAAATTTCTTTTTGAAATATCTACCAGCAACAAATATGCTAACTTTAACAAATTTTATTGGATTTGCTTCAAAACTTTGCAACTTAAATTGCATTGATGTAGTTAGTTTCCACTGAAGGCAAAGAATTTGTTTAAAAAATCCTTGAGACACACTGAAATAATGTACAATAAATACACTCAAATACATTTAAGCATTTCTAATTGAATTGAAAGAAACTCGAAGAAATTACTGAGTATACTGGTTTTAAAACACATTTTTAAAAAAATAGTACCAAATTTACCATCTTAACACTTTAGTTGTGTAAGAAGGATGATTATATTTTAATTTTTAAATATGGGTGAACTGTATTAAGTGATTTTATTATGTCTAATTTCTATCAACTTTCCTTTCTGTTAAGCCCACTTCGAATTTGCCTTATTGTTTTCTCTGGGCTGCACTAAGTATTGTTATCTAACTAATTTTATTAAGAATATAATTACTATTTTACGAATATAATAATAATATTCTAATTTATATAAAGAATATAATATAATGTACATATTATGAATTCTAAATTGATGATTCTTTCGTTACATTGCATTGTAAAAATAACTTTACTGACTCTTACGTTTCTCTTATTTTATTCGAATAAAATTTTCTTGCTAATGAAAACAAAATATGGTGGCAGCTGCTTTACGCCAAATAGTTTAAAAAAATAATCTTGGTCTAATGGAACCCCTAGTGCAGCACCACTTCGATGTAAAATAATTGCCACCAATTTTCTTGTTAAGATACACACTATGTTTTACAGTGTATTTTTTCCTCTCTGTGATTTTTATTTTTTTTAGCAGTACTTTGTTAAAATCCTTCGATATTCAAGTCTTATTTATGAATTGAAAAAAGAAAAAAGAAAACGAATATTTCTAAATTGAAGATATTTCTATTGACTAACAATATTTTTACAGGAAAATAATTAATTTACACAAGTATAAAAAAAAGTGGCTGGGTGGCGCAGTTGGTTTGTCGTCGGCCTTCTGAGCCCAAGTTTGCGGGTTCGATCCCCGGCCCAGACACCGGATTTTCAGGATGCAGAAAATCCTCAGCGGCCATGTCGTATGATTATGCGGCATGTAAAAGATCCCTGGAGTGCCTTATTGGCTATTGGCATTTCCGGCAAAAATTAAAATTCCTAGTGCACTTTAACATCCAAATAGAGTCTCGGTGCTGCCATCTAGTGTGGCAGAAACTAGACGTCCTAATTAACTTGACCAACGGTATCTCACCCATTGTGGTGGTCCTGAAAGAGTGGATACCACTTCTGGAGAACGCACTGGTCTGCTTATCGGCAAGACCGATTGTGCAGCTCATTGGAAATAAAAAAAAAGTATAAAAATATATAAAAAGTATAAAAATAGTTTTTTTTGGGATGTGTGTTTTAAGTATTCAAAAGATTGAACATTAAAGTAGTGTGTTTTTTTTTAAAACAATAAAAAAAAATTTGGCGAACTAAAGGGACGATTTTTTGAATGCCAGAAGTGTTTAAAAATCATATTTCTAAAACGTCTTTTGTTAGAGTATAAGATATGAGATATTTTTTTGTTTTTTAGTTCAATTATTTCAAGGAGAAATATTTCAAAACAACTATTTATCCTTTAATTGTTTATTCCTTTCATGTCAAATCCAAATGCATTAGTTGAGGAACTATTACTCCGTTTTCGTTTCAAATTTAATTGCCTTATTTGCATCACTTAAAAAAACTGTAAAGTATTACTTATTTTTCTGTTATGTTTTAATGTAAACATATTAACAAATCCCTACAGGTTTTATTGATTCGTTTTTCTCAGCGCTTCCTTTAATTTATTCCATTCATGTTACCAAAAACCACACAAAAGAAATGAAAGTAACTTAAAACTTAATTTCTGAAATTGAATGTGATATAATACACTTAAAATGCAAATTACAATATTTAAGATTTTTTTTCTATTTGAATGTTTGGTAAAGACGATTAATAAGCCATGTTACTTTTAGAGAACTGATTTTTAATTCCTTTTTTAATGCATTAATTATTAAATCTAAACAAGCTTCAAAACAACTTACCACAAAAATTAATTCAAGGAAAAATGCATTGGATTAGAAAAATATGTTTACAATATTAAAATATCTGGAAGCGTTGTTTTATTGTATTATTTTATTAAAGTATCTGGAATTATTTAGCGAGTTTTGCATTTGGAAATATAAAAGAATTTTAATCAATGTTTTAAAGTTTCATAAAATTTAAACTAGCAAAATAAGAAACTTTATAAACACTAATTGGTGGGCCGGGATAGTCTGACTGGCAGGGCACTGGGCCCATGTCCAAGAGGACTTGGGTTCGATCCCCGTCGGCCGAAGACTCCCCGTGTAGTAAATGATGACTGCAAATGATGATGACACGTTAAATTTGTCGGGTCACAAAGTCCCCATGTTCCCATAAATCATACCTCTGGGTTACTGATCCAGGAGTTTCCTTGTCTTCTGGATTGGTTCAAAATTACAAGGCTACGGAGTTGAACATTAGTAGTCGTAAACCCAAAATTGGGTTGGCTGTTCAACGACTGTTATAATAAAAAATTTTTTAAAAAATACTAATTGGTGAGTCGCCTTGGCTCAGGGAATAGAGCGTTCGCCTTCCAATGAGGTAAACCGGGTTTGAATCCTGACGATGGCTGATCGATACGAATCCGCATCCAGCTTGCACCAACCACAGTGCTGACGTGAAATATCCTCAGTGGTAGCCGGATCATGGGTTAGAGCCCATTTGCAGTCAGGAAGTTCTCGTGGTCTTCCTCCCCATGAAACGCAAATGCTGGTTAGTTCCCTCCAAATGTCCTCCACGAAAGCAAATTTCTCCCAATACTTGATCCATGAGTTCCCTTGTCTTTTGGATTGGGTTCAAAATTACCAGGCTACGTAGTTAAACATTAGTAGTCGGAAACCCAAAAATTGGGTCAGCTGTTCAACGACGGTTATAAAATAAAATTAAAAAAATTAATTGTTTTTTCTAATTATAACTTGGCACAGAATTCAATTTATAAAAAATGAATATTATTTTTATACAAAGTTATTTCAAAGTCAATTGAAAAAGGATAGAAATTTAAACTGTTGACTCAAAGTGACCCTCACGTGATGCTATTTTAACGCTCTGATTTTTTTATAAAACTGAAATAGCTTAAAAACTTACTGTAAACTCGTTTTCGTTGAACTAACTAAGCTTACAAAAAATGTAGTTTCATCAAAAAATTTCATTTGCAAAAACGCTTTATTTAATTAAATGTATTTAATAAAACAATTAAAAATGATTTAGCAGTTAATGTTAATGAAGTGGAAAAAGAAAATAGTTACATTTATGTGAAGTAAAGTGTAAAAGTGAATGAGATAATTAGATATTTAAATATTACTAATTAAATGAAATATTTTGATTGAAATAATTATGTAATTAAATAATACTAAATAAAATATATTAAAACAATTACATTAATTATATTATTAAGTCGTGGTTGTTGACGCATGTCTGTTTAGGCAGAAGGGTGCGATTGTTCTTGTTTTCCAGTGCCGCCATCTGTGGCCAAGAATTCGACTTCTGCCACACCATACGTTGCACCCGTTTATAGGGCAGACCCATTCATTCATCCACATTCTGATTCAGGTCATCATAATTTTGACCTGATCGATCTCCAATCCAGTACCCCCAGAGGTTTTGATTTGTTATGGGAACATGGAGGACTTTTGCTACTCGACAGATTTAACGTGCATCAGTCACTTTACTCCACGGGGAGTCTTCGGCAGGCGGGGTTCGAACCCACGAGCTCTCGGACATGGGCCCAGCGCCCTACCATACTATCCCGGCCTATTAAGTCATTAATACTAATAAATTAAATTATTAGGTAGTTAAATAATACTGATAAAAGAAATTACATTAAAAATTAATTATATTAATAATTATATTAAGTAATATTACTAAATAGTAATTACATCAAACGTTTTAAATGAAATGATTTACGTTGCTTTTAATGCTTAACTGATTCTTAGGTCACAGAGAAAGTTAGTATCGATCTAGGAAACTTCTTCGCTGTTACGAGACGAGTTCAAATACCCCCAAAAACATACATTTTGAGATTTTCTCCACAAAAATACTTTATTATCAAAAGAAAAAGGGGTAAAATTT